ATGTACTATCAAAGATAAAATGAAAATATAAAAATAATGCTCCTTGCCTGCCATGTGCAACATTTGTACCAGCTCTTTCTCCTTTTGCCAGCCTAACCCAGCCAAGGTAAGTCATAATGGAAATCATCAAATGGTTGAGGGTCATTTGTGATGACCACCTAGATTTATCTCCCAAGTCTCTATCCTAATTTCAACTCTAGATTTTAGGTCACTTGTGAAATCATGAGTTTGTTACCATCTTTCAAATTCACTCCTGGATTCTGAGTATACTGACTAATCTTGTTTCCCAGCATTTTTAGGATTTTGGCTAGGTTCTGTCTTTGGCCCTTCATGCTCCTGACTTCCCCTCACTTGATTCTGGCCCCTAAAACCAAACCCTGGCACTAGCCTAACTGACTGACACTTTAACCAACCTCTATCCCCCAGCAAAGGGGTGAATTGAATGTTATATTGTTGTAGAACTATGAATTCACATTCTCCTACTAGAAACGGCATTCCCAATTGATTGAAGGTTCTATTTTTTCTCTGGAACTTTCTCTGGGCAATTAAAAGGATTCAGAAGCATTGTCAGTACATGAGAGAATGCTCCAATGTCAGCTATGCCAATTGGGAAACAATCTTTTGAGTGTTCATCTTTAAGATTAGCTACACCCAAGACTAACTTAAAGATGAGGGGAGGAGAACACTGTTTGATTTATGCCAATGGTTGATATATAGAGTACTGAAGGATAAACTTGGCTAGGTAGAGAGAGTGGGTTGAAGTTCCTAATATATGATCGAAGAACTTGGCTTTAAACTAAAAAGGAAATGTATAAATTTATGTTTTGGTCATAACAAACCATCCATTCACTGGCTGCCTTCCCTCTCAGAATTTTTAGAGATGGGAAAATTCTAAACCAAATATAGAATCCACTCGAGTTTCATGGCTCTAATGTTAGAAAAAAAAATTCACACTTTCAAGTGTCTGATTATATAGCTCTGAAAAAGACTGTATTCTAGTTGAAGAGGTTAAGGCTTTGAATTGAACTCTCATGAGCCCTGGTCAACCAATAATTCTCTTACACCTTAAAGGAAGTATTCAGTGACTTGAAGATAAATCAGAACTGCATGCACTACACCCCTCTCCTGCCCTCTCCCATAACCTTCCAATAGGAAAAAGAAGAAAATTATAGCCAGGAGGGATTTCCATTTGCCAAGCCCCAAACATCAGCAAGACAGAGTTGCTGAAGACATTTTGTGAAACACCAAATACCATTTGTTCTCCCAGCCTCCAGGGAATGGATTACTTAAAACCACTCCAGGCATGGAATGATAAAAATGTCGCCCAACAATTCGATTATGCTGTATCCAACTCTTGGGTGTCATTCACATCTAGAAGAACAGGGTACCCAATAAAGAGAGAAGGACATATGAACCCCTCAATTTCAGCCTCTGCCTGAGCATGCAGCCCTGTGTGGGTTCAGAGTTCTGACGCTGAAGAGAAGGTCATCTTTGCCTAGCCTACTGGGTAAATTATAAACAAATGATCAACAAATTCAATCTACTATTTTGTAGCAGAGAGCCAAGATTTCCACCATTCCCAAACTAGAGTGTCCCAATTAGCATATCTCATTAGTAAATCTTTCTGTGTTTGACACAAAGTGAGTATGACAAGCAGAAAAAAAAAAAAATCCATGACTACTATTTTTGTTCAGGGTTCTTTAGTTGATAAACATAAGAACTGTTTAATTTCCAATCCCTGTTTGCCCATAACTTTGGTCATGAGTATCAGAGATTTGGCTAATCTGAAATGAGAACACAGATCTCTACTCTCTGCTATGAATGGCAGAGTTAAAACTACCCTCTTGGAGTTGAGAATACTTGGCAACATACTGGATGAGACAATAAAAATGGAAAAACCTAGAAATATGTATATCCAAGTGAAAATCCCTTCTCAAAATGATCATCTTGGGAAGCAACTCATTTACTTCTTTATTATATTCAGAGAAATTTCACAAAGAAAATTTGCAATGCAGTTCCATCATACTGTAGTTATTCTTTGTTTTTTTGACCCAATGTAGCAATACTCAGTTTGACTGTTTTCAAAAATAACCCTGACAAGATGAATATTACTATATTGATAATAATCTCCTTGATGTGCTAAAAGCTTTGAAGACAATCCCTGGGAAAAAACTATGCAACTGTAACAGCACCATGATGAGAATGGGCCCAACCCCTCTAAACATGAATGCTTTCAAGAGGGTGACATTTGACTACAGAACTGTGATACACTTGCTCACAACTCAGACACAGGACACTTGAGTCATACTTCATCAAACTGTTGAGTCGGAAGGGACAATACAGTTCAATTGATAAGGTTGAGGATTAGGCTTTGAATGGAGAGCCACTGCCTGCCAGCCAATGTCACCCACCATTTCTGCTCCCTGAGGTCCTTCTAGAAGATGAAAATTATCTTGGCATCATAAGTGTCGCATGTACCAGGAAAAGTAAAAAACTATCTAACACACTGGAAGATGCTTGTTAGTTTGTCCATTAGCACCCATTGGGGTGCTTGGGCCCTGGGGAGCTGGGGTGGAGGCCAAGGGGTCAGAAATGTGGTGGACAGTTGTTGCTATGAGCGATGGAGGCGGAAATAGGACAGAGGATGTTGGAGGTGGCAGGAAGGCTCCCAAAGAAGGGCTGATGGGGCACCAAAGAGCTATATTTCCTGTTGCACATTGTTTATTTTGGTTAAGCTTCATAATGCTCATTCTCAGGAAGGTCAAAGGTCACACAGATACTTTTTGATTTTTTTTTTTTTAACAACTCTGAAGGTAATTCAAGATGAGACTTTACTACCCCCCAAACTTAATTTACTATGTAGATTATGTAAATATGGCTCAGTATTATAAGAAATATTTCTTTTGAGAATTTCACAATGATCTACAAACTCATATCCAAGCAAATCCTACTTGTGAGTGGTACAGCCTCATGGCTGAAAGTACAGCCTTCAAAGTAGACCATTAGAATCATGCGTCTGCTACTTGTTATCCATGTAACTTTGGAAAACTTACTTCTCTGAGCCTCAACTGTTTCAGTTGTAACATGAGAATAATGGTAATTACTTTATATGAGTAAATGAGATACCAGTAAGGGAGACAGAAGTCATGTTAGTCATAAGTAGTCAATAAATCATGACTCTTAGTAATATCTCATTATTTATTATTTCCACTTTTACGGTCAGAAGTCCAGGCCCAGGAAAGGCAAATCATTACCCACTCACCATAGTGCTAGACAGAACTAAGGTAAGTTCTCTTTTATTCCTCGAGTACTCCTTATGTTAAAATCTGAGACTTACTACAAGGGATCTCCTACATAAAAGTAATGCTTGTTAAAAATATTTTGATATCATGTAAGGCCTTTTTCATGATAAGCACAGTAGTAGCCAACTTTATTCTAGATGCTGGCCTAAGAAAGATATCACCTATTCTCCCCAAATCCTAGGATATACATTATTACCCTCATTTACAGGTGAGAAAACTAAGGCTTACAGAGGTTCACTGGTTTGACTGAGGTTCATACAGCTAGACTATCCGAGTAAGAATTTAAACCCAGATTCAGTCACAGCAAAATGGCTACACATAATATTAGAAAGTAATTCCACAATACTGTTTGTTTTCAAATGATCCCAAAATTACCCATGTTAAAAATGGAACTTTGTAAAGTACACACAGCACTCTACTCCAAGCCCATTCTTCACAATCTACGATGTAGGCGGTTAAGAACCGAGAGCTTTCTGTGGGACACAGCTCTTGAATCCTGGCTGGGTCTGGTTCCCTCCTGGCGTGTATCTAGGGCGAAGGTTAGCTTGGCCGCGGTCTGTGCTGCCGGTGGCATTCTGTTCTGGGCAGCAGCCGCACAAACGACTCGAGGAATGTGATTGGAATGAGGTTCTGTGCTGTCACACTGTCCTGACATATTGTTTTGACATGTCACATGCTGTCTTTGTGCTTGGACACTAACAGAGACCTGTCAAATTACATGCACAAAGCAACATCCAGTCTCCCTTCCTGACTTCCTTCCTTCCGTCCTCCCTTCACTTATTCCAGGAAGGATTTTTTCCTTTCAAATTCCCTGGGGAGCAGCTCTGATTCACCAGTGCTCTGGAGACAGAGCTATCTCCTCACACGACTCCTGTTTGGGGCAGAATAAGATCTCCGCTTTATGTTAACTGCAGGATATAAGGTAACCACAGCCTTTTTTTTTTTTTTTTCTGTTTGTAGTCATGACAATTTCACCCTTTAACATTAACTCACACATTACTTTCTCCAGCAATCTTCCCTGATGTCCCCCTGCTCGGTAAATACCCAGCCTTTGTGCTCCATATATCATTATCCTTTCCACTCAGTATTAAGATGATTGTTTTAAAAGCCTGTTGCCCTCTCCAGACTGAACTTGAAGACAGAGAACAGGTCTTACTTGTGGGGGGTACTCAAGCCTTATGCAAAAGCGTGGAGTCACAGCAGGATCTACTATGATGGGCTGGACATTTAGACATCTCAGTGGGTTGGTGTGGGTGGATATTTGTCATTCAACACTTAATATCACGTCTGGCCTTATTTCAGTACTCAGCATAATCACTACATCATACACACGGCAGGGACTCGGAACACGCATGTCGACTTAATGACCGATTTATCGACTGAATGAATAGGCACCAGGCATGGGCATTATCAGAAGATTACTGCCAACTGGACATGCCACTAAAGGCACCGATCCTCAGGCAACATTCTTAACAAGCAAGAGCAGACCCCAGGGACAGTGCCGCTCTACAAGGAAGATGCTCTTGCCTCCGGACGCCTCACGGGAACCGTCAGGAGGCCTTCAGAGGCATCTGTCAGGACCACTGCTGTCTCTGGGGTCTTGATTCTGTCCTGACGCGAGCACAGCGGCAACCAGAGCATACTGAGCGGGCTCGGCGGTGTCTGGGGACTCTGGGTGGGGAGCGGCGCGGCCCTTACCTGCCTGTGCTGCGGGGAGACTTGGTACCCCAGTCCCGTGATAGGCTGATTCTGCATCTTCTGCAGGAGGATCTTTTGCTGCAGTGGCAGCGGGGCCCTCAGCAAGGGCTGGTTCGAGAGCGGCTGGGTGGGCTGGGCCGCGGGCTGCGGCGCGGGTGGCTGCGGCTGCGGCTGCTGCGGGGGCTGCTGCGGCGGCTGCACCGTGACGGAGTTCTGCTGCGGCTGCTGCTGGGTGTAATGCAAGAGTGAAGGCTTGCTCTGGGAAGGCAACACGGAAGGCATCTGCTGGTTGGCTTGATCCGAGTTGAAATGGAACAAAGGCTTGGTGCTGCCGTGCCGGGGCTCCATGGCCGGGTGCGGGTTGCTCAGGAAGCTCCGGCTGAGGTCCTGCGGCTTGGGTTGCAGGAGCACGTCCAGCGGCCCGCCCTGGGCCGAGGGGCTGGCCTTGTACAGGTAGTTCGCCATGACCTTCGACGGGTTGCCGCCGCCTGCGACCCCCGGCATGGTGGTGCTCTGGGGGCTGAACGGCTGCTGGCCGAAGGAGGGGCTGGGGATTTTCTCCTGCCCGAAGGGACCTGGGGAGGGCCCTGCCGAGGAGGCCAAGGCTGGCCAGCTGGCGGGCTGGTGCTGCTGCTGTTGCTGGTGCATCCGGACGTGCTGCTGCCTGTTGGCGGCAATCTGCTTGAGCTGCTGGGCGTGGGACACTTCCTGCCAGCTGGGCAGGGCCCGGGCCGCTCCGGAGGCTGGCGGGGGCTGCGCCTGGCTCTGGGGGACCGACGGGATCGGGGATGAAGCGGACAGGCCCGAGCTGGCCATGGAGAACGGGGGCCCCGCGGATGAGGGCCTCAACTGCGGGGAGCCCGAAGGGCCCTGGGTCAGGCCAGGGGAGTATTCGCTTTTGATCACCGTCTTCTCCAGGGGCAAGGACGGCCGGGGAGTGCTCCGCTGGCTCTGCTGACCCAAGTCGATGTTAAACGGGTCATCCTGCTTTATGGTGGCATTGATCATGTTCTCCAGCTCAAGGTCACTCATGGGAGGCACAGATATGTTGGTCAGTTCGTTAAACAGCTCCTGCAGTTCGGGATCCATCAGCTGCTCCCCGGGATCATCTCCGTACCGGTTAGAGAAAATATTCTCCTGGGTCACTTGGCCATCCCCGTGCTTGCTGCAAGACAGCGTCTCTCCAGGCTCCTTCTTCACTTCCTTTAAGCCCATGTTGAACAGACCATTTCCAGGAGAGTGGGTAGGAGGGGGCGGCAGCGTGGCAGTCTTTCTCAGGGGTGCTTGGCTCATGGGCAAGGTCCCCGACATCATCTGACTTTGTCCATTATTTACTGGGAGGCCCCCTGGTCCTGCAGCGAGATTTTCGCTGACACGGATTCTTTTGATATCAAGGAACGAGTTGTCTACAAAGCCATTGGGCCTCTTGCTGTTGGCAGGAGACAGGTTAACGATCTGTTTTCTTTTCAAGGAACCCTGGAGCTGAAAGACAGATGGGGAATAGAAAAAAAACAGAGCATGAGATATTAATCCAGGTATGTGTGTAGTCAAAGGAGACAGAATATTTGAATGTTCTTCCATTTACACGTGTGCAGGATGAATTCAAAAAAGAAAAGCACAAATGCGGCCCAGTGTGGAAGATAAGGAAACTTAACAACAGCACAGACAGGGCAAAATGTTTCTGGAGGAGCATGCCAACGAAGGGTGGGAGGTCACAGAGGTTCCCATGATTGGTACCCTGGTCAGTGGGTGAAGAATCCATCACATGTCATTGGGAGTTATTGGTAATAACTATGGTTAATCACCAAAGTGGTGCTGTTTTCTGCAACAGGCCAAACTATTCCACACGCATGCACACACAACCACACAGACACAGGCCACTGGACTGAGCATAATTTTGACCAAGATGGGAAACAGCGCAGAGTCTAAAGCTGAGACCCAATTTCCAGTTTCTTTTGCACAGATTCAATTCCTTCACCACTTTTATCCTCTAAGTGAGTAATTAGAATGTTTGCCTTGCCTAAGGAGACAGTCTCTCTGTTGTTTAACTATTTTTCTTCCTATGATTCTGTGGCTTTGCATTCAAGACCCCGTAGCAACACTGTGTGGGTGCATGGCATCTATGGGGTTATCACTTATCATCTGAAACCCTCTAAGCACGGATTTTCCTGGGGATTCATTTTTCATGTGGCCTGTCTCTAAGTCTTTTAGCCAAAGCCGAGGTGTAGAGAGGCAGTACTGCATGATGGTTAAGTACTCAGGCTCTGGAACTAGTTAAGGTGAGCTCAAATCCCAATCTGTCACTGAGCGCTAAGTGATTCTGGCTCTTGACTTCTCCAAGCCTCAATTTCCTTACCTGGAAAATGGGCACAGGACCACTTAACTCATAGAAAGACATGAGACACTGGCTATCTAATTTTACGTTTGGTATTGTATATGTTTCAGTGTTACTCTTTCAATCGTCCTACCCTCTCCTTCCCATTCTGTGTCCACAAACTTGTACTGGGAACTCAAATGCAGTGCTCTGTGACAACCCAGAGGTGGGGGATGGGTTGGGAGGTAGGAGGAAGGTTCACAAGGGGTGGGACATACATATACCTATGGCTGATTCAAGTTGGTACATGGCAGAAACCAACACAACGGTGCAAAGCCATTATCCTCCAATTTAAAATTAATACGTTCAAACAAAAAACCAAAACAATTACCAAAAAAGAAAGACATGAGACATGCAAACATTTAGCACAGGCCATCCCCTAGAGAAGGAAATGGCAACCCACTCCAGTATTCTTGCCTGGAAAATCCCATGGACTGAGGATCCTGGTAGGCTACAGTCCATGGGGTCGCAAAGAGTTGGACACAGCTGAGCGCCTTCACTTTCACTTTACCAAAATAAGAACTCAATAAAGTATATTTTATAAAAAATATGGCTTATTATATTCTCAGAGAGGAGCATCTCTCTAAACAGCAACAAAATATCAAAGGACTTCAGTCACTCATTCAGTGATTAGACTGTATTCCATTAACTTCAGACATTATATAGAGAGATTTAAGAACCAGTAAATTAATAAGAAACACAAAATATACACCGTTGATCTTGAGATGCTTGTTGCTTTGCCTCTAAAATGGGAGGCTATATGTAGCAAAATGTGGCTTTCCCAGTGCAGCTGAACCACTTCAATTATTTCTGTTTGCTCAGGATAACCAGAAATTACCTGAGGCAGAAGGACATTTCCCAGATACAAAATTCTATCACTTCTCCCATCCTCCCTTTTCTCTTACCATCGCTCCTCCACCCTCCTGAAGATTTCCAGGTAACTTAATTAGAAAGTGAAATTAATATTTTAATTATTACTCTTTAATTTTTAATATTTTAAAAAATATTTATATTTTTAATATTTTATTTTAAAAAATTTAAAATATTTTAAATATGTTTTAATATTTAATATTTTAATTATGAGCACCTATTACTTCAGCCACCTGATGCAAAGAACTGACTCATTTGAAAAGCCCCTGATGCTGGGAAAGATTGAAGGTGGGAGGAGAAGGGGATGACAGAGGATGAGATGGTTGAATGGCATCACCGACTCAATGGACATGAATCTGAGTAAACTCTGGGAGTTGGTGATGGGCAGGGAGGCCTGGTGTGCTGTGGTCCATGGGGATGCAAAGTGTCATACATGACTGAGTGACTGAACTGAACTGAGCAACTATTACATACTAAGTGTTTAGATTATGATTATGTTATTTTCCTTACTGTTTACAACAACCCCATTAAATATGTTTTACTTCATAGGTAAGGAAACCAAGGCTCAGGGAGGCTAAGTAAGTTGCCCAGTGTCGCACAGCAAGTAGATGGGGAAACAGTGGAAACAGTGACAGACTTTATTTTCTTGGGCTCCAAAATCACTGCAGATGGTGACTGCAGCCATGAAATTAAAAGACGCTTGCTCCTTGGAAGAAAGTTATGGCCAACTTAGACAGCATATTAAAAAGCAGAGACATTACTTTGCCAACAAAGGTCCGTCTAGTCAAGGCTATGGTTTTTCCAGTAGTCATGTATGGATGTGAGAGATGGACTATAAAGAAAGCTGAGCGCCGAAGAATTGATGCTTTTGAACTGTGGTGTTGGAGAAGACTCTTGAGAGTCCCTTGGACTGCAAGGAGATCAAACCAGCCAATCCTAAAGGAGATCAGTCCTTAATATTCATTGGAAGGATTGATGCTGAAGCGGAAATCCCAATACTTTAGCTACCTGATGTGAAGAGCTGACTCATTTGAAAGGACCCTGATGCTGGAAAAGATTGAAGGTGGGAGGAGAAGGGGATGACAGAGGATGAGATGGTTGGATGGCATCACCGACTCGATCCACATGAGTTTGAGTAAACTCCGGGAGTTGGTGATGGACAGGGTGGCCTGGCATGTTGTGGTTCATGGGGTTGCAGAGAGTCGGACACGACTGAGTGACTGAACTGAACTGAACTGGGCAGTTCTAAAGCATGTGTCATTTCCACTATTTGATGCTGGAGTCAGCTTGTTTAGGGGTAGGGTTTGCCTTGTGTAAGAGGGAGGGGGCAGTGAGCACAGGATGCGGAACCAGAGAATGGTGGGGACACGGTCTAGGGCTGAGTGTGAACAATATGTTCCTTGTCATGTAGTTCAACAATACCTGTTTCATCAATCCATCACCTGAGGTTGTGCCCCTCATAAGTGTATATAGTTACGGAGGATGTACCATGTTCGTATAACCAGTGCTTACATTTTATCATTGCTAATGGGTAATCAGGAAAAGGAACCTGACCCAAGCTGGGCTAATCACTCCTTCCAGGAAGATTTTGAAATTGGAGAAAGTGAAGCGAGGCTCTTTTGGGGTGGCTGCGTGGTCATTTATGGGCTTCCCTTGTGGCTCAACAGTAAAGAAACTGCCTGCAATGTGGGAGACCCAGGTTAGATCCCTGGGTTAGGAAGATCCCCTGGAGGAGGAAATGGTAACCCACTCCAGTATTCTTGTCTGGAGAAGTTCATGGACAGAGGAGCCTAGCAGGCTACAGTTCATGGGGTCACAAAGAGTTGGACATGACTGAGCAACTAACACTCTTAACACACTGCTGTTTATAAAACCTGTGAAGTATTGCACCATTAACCAACCAGAACCACAGAGGAAGAAAGTCTGTGGAAAGAGAATGATGGAGAGAGAAAGGACACAAATTTTGAGAGCATCTGAGGGCCTGATTTCAACATGAGGCCACCTCTACTGCTCTCCTTGTTTTCCTTGCTACACTGTGGAATCTTTATAATAAAGTCTCCTTTTTCCTTAAGCTAACATGAGTTGGGCTTCTGTTACTTTCAGCCAAGAGCCGGAACTAATAAGTCCCATGAGATCTAACATTGGGGGATGAGCAGTTTGCAACAAGGGGTAGGGTGCACTTTGTCCCTGGTTGTGGAGCTTTTATTTTCCCCATCTTTGCTGTATCTCCATGTTTCCCTGATTCTTAATGTCATCTCTCCCCTGATGGAGGCCAACATTATCACAGAACACTGTCAGTCATCACTACATCTGGCGCCCACTGAAAGTGGTCCCTGTTCTCAGGGGGTCAGAAACAGCACACACTGCAGAGAGGCAGCCACGCAGCCTCAAAAGTGGCCATGCTGATTTATTTCAGCACAAGTTACATTTTGAAGGTTTTTTTTTTTTTTTCACACTGAGTAAAGAACAAACAAAGGAAAACATTCTTTTTCCAGGTTTGGGTTATTGCCTTTGATTTATTTTCCACTGCTTTGAAAAAACCTGTTCTTCCAGATTCTCCTACAGCTCAGGCCACTCCCTGGGCAGCTCAGTACATACCCTGGGAAGCAGCTCCAGCACTTTCTCTAAGTTATCAGGACTGGAGAGGCAGTGATAGAATTAGCGGTGGTAATAGCAGCAGCAGTAGTAATAATAGCAATAACAACAGTCATTTATTGAGGGCTGTGTGCTAGGCCTTATGCTAAGCTCTTTGCATGGGCTTAGCATATTAATTGTGCTAAATTAAATTAAATCTCATTTAACTCTCACAAACAACTCTTAAGAATCTTTGCAACAACAACTCTATAAGGTTGATACTATTTCTACCCTCTCCCCTCCCTTTCACCGGTGAGCCAGTTGAGGTTGGGAGACTGAATGACTCTTCAAGGTCACACAAATACTAAGCAATAAAGGCCAGAATCAAACCAAGCATTCCCACTGCAGAGCCTGTGCCAGGTAGTAAATGGCACCCAGGCCCTGAAGAGGGAAGTGGTGCCCACACATGGGTATTGAGGACACTGGCCCAGGGTCTAGTCCTGATTCCGGCATTAATTTGTTTTGCTATTTTAGGTAGGAAATTTTCTCTTCTATGGACCGTAGTTCCCTCCTTTATAAATAAAGTTAACTCTGAGAATGCTTTCCCAATGAACCCAGAAAATAACAGACACTGAGGGAGTTAGAATCGTTTTTTGAGGCATAT